CTTTTTTTTGGATCTGCCTTCATCCCCGTGCAAAATCAAACCAGCGGTTCTCTCTAGGGCCAAGACCCCATCATTGGCCAACCGAAATACCATGTGACCTGGCATGATTTTGTAAAAATTTGTCCAGAAAGCAGACCATTGAGCTTTGCATCGGGCATCATCTGGGCTGTCAAGCCCACTGAGAGTGTACCACAAGTTCAAACTCATGATCCAGTTGAACCATGAGCTGAGAAGTAGAACTGGGATCTCGACATCCTTGGTGATCTGAACCGGTGTCAAATCAATCGGGACTCTAAGCCGATATTTCTTCCCAAGTTGATGCACATCCCTTTCGGAATGTGAGATAGAGCACCCTGCTAGCACCCCCACAGTTGTAGCGGCAGCAGCTGGAACTTCTTCAACCACTGCACGAGCTGCCCTTATAGTCGAACTGCATGGGGCCTGGGCCATGTTTCTGAGTGTTCAATATATAACGCAATGATCGGAGTCGGGGTCCTGTGGTTCGGATTTGCAATGCTTTGCTAAAATCTGTGTCAAACAAAAGGTTCCAACGGATAGCAAAACCTTTCTTGGCCAAGCCCAAGCTAGTTCAGCATGAGCAAAAACACGTTCTGATACCAACGTGGTTTTACACTTGTTAGAATAAAACGGGCTCAGGTTAACGCACTACATATCGCCACCTGGGTTGGTCCACATTGAAGGTCCTGCGCACGACGTATAGCATGCATGTATGTTGCTGAGGCCTCCTTTTGATGGCAAACCGTATCACCACCTTGACCTACATTCCTGCGGCCTGGCTGACCTTCATGGGAAACAGGGGAACTCAGATAATTTTAGGGGCGCCATACACAAAAGATGCTCCAAGAATCGCCCAAACAGGTTCCTCATTAATGCTCTAACGCTGATTGAGGCTGCTTTCAAGCATTGTGGGTGCTCCAGTGGTTCCTTCAAAAATCAGGGTCTCCATGTGCAGATTTATCACGCTCACCCTTTTGCATACCGATGGTGGAAGTAAAACTTCAAACACGGCATCCCTGACTTGAGCGAGTTTGCAATGCGCCAGCAAAAGTGATAGGCAGCTGGAATGATATTTTGTCTCCCCCAGGTCCATCATGGGATAAACAATATGTGGAACCCTCACTCTGGCATTCGTGGATGGGCTTGGCAGAAGGCTACCTGGCTTTGGGGCTGGAGTTGGAAAATAGTTTTGCTTCCGATTTGCGCAGGTAGGGAGTCAGAGGACAAACCTCAACCCGGACTGCATGAGCGAAAGGCAACCACTCAATGGTCAGAAACGGACTTCATTGGTAAGCCTATTTCAGGAGAAGTAGCAGAGCAGTGGCAATGTAGCTCAAACAAATCCTGCGCGTTTCATTACACTACAGTACATCGATGGATGAAACAAACTTGAACCCCAAAACCTTGTGAAATACAGTGCTCCACTCTAGGGCAGCCGTCGCCAACAGCCGCTTGAGTTCCTTGAGGCGCAGACCCCATCAGCGACATCTCGCATCCATCTTCTCAGACTCGGCCCGGCACCTGGCAAAGTCAATGGATGGCCGGTACCAAGATGATGATGGGGGCACTGGCGCAAGTCGAGGAGTCACAGAGCTCATGGTCCAATGGTGTTTGTTCTAGAAGGTCAATAGTTTGTATTCCTGGGTGCAACCATATTCCAACGCGGATGGACGCAAGGTTTTTTCCACAACAACCTGCAGTTTGGCTGACGGAGCAAAGCCAATATCCCTAATGTTCAAAATTATCAATGGGAGCGCCACTGACAAAAGATATCCTAAAGCGCGCCCACTCAACAAATGTCACTACATAGTGACCAATCTAAGATTGGCGACCACGAGCCTTCCTTGTCTTCTTTTTGACCGCTGGCTTTGCAACAGCGGCCTTAGCTGCAGCCGCCTTAGCTGCTGCCTTTGCACGAGATGTTCCTCCCCCCGGCTCAGACTTTGTGGCTTTCTCAAAGAATTTCTTGGCATTCCTGGGCAAACAGGTTGAGCACAAAGTTTCTAAACATGCCGGTTGAGATGAGCTTGCATGAACTTGCCAAGGTCAAGGCCGGACTTTCAGCTCATCTGCCGTGGCCCGAGATGACCTTTGACAACTAAGAACAGCCAGTTAGGTTTAAGATTGATTTTCACATGTAATTGAGAAGCTGTTTCGATCGGGGCATACTAAGAACGAAGCACCATGGTTGCTTCGCGCATCTTGGTCTCCGCTGCCGACCACCACCTTGGCAAATGCAACTCATAGTTTATACCATAAGAGGCTTTAGGTGAGCAACTATTCCCGTGAACTGCCAAAGCAGAGGTCGGCACCCGCCCGAGAATCCTTGGGATTCACCCTGCGCCAGGTGGTCATTCAAGACCTCATACATTTGATCGATCTTCTGAATGTTGTCCTCCAAGGTCTTGCATGGCCTGGGCATGGATTGCAGCTGGTTGCCTGAATGAGGCGGGGGTTGGAGGTTGAGCTCACATTCACCATGTCACCATGTTAGCTGAGCTACGTATCGCATTCAGTGGGATAGTTCTTCTTCAAATCCTTGATCAAGGTTCTCAGCTTGTTGGTCTTTGTGAGCAAAGACTCGATGAACCGCTTCAGAACGGCTTTGTGCTGCACAGGGGTCAAACATCAAACACAAATGTAAAATGATTCTGATCACAAAACACCATAAAAGCTGAAGCATTACTTTTGCATGCACTAGTATTTGTTGTAGTGTGCGCAGATGGATACCTCAACTTCGGCTGCCACACCATTCTTCGAGTCAGGGCCCAACTGCGCGGATCGCGCCGCATATGCATCGATCCCCTGAAAAGAATCCGGAGCAATTTCTGGCATAGCGGAATCCGCAACCTGGGGCAAAAGCAGCAGTTTGCATGGCATCGGTTGGTCGGGGTGTATATACGAATTGAACTCATGCAATCAAAAGAATCTGAGCCTGCTTGTTCTGGCGGTGGGTTTCCTCCAATGTCTTGCTCTCGGTGTGCTGGGCAGTTTCTCGGACCACCACCCAATATTCAAGAACCCCGTCGTAAAGGTTTGACCTCTCACGCATACATGACACAGGTAAGGTTACCGACTCCAAAAAACACAACGCCGCCTGATCAGGTTATGGGGATCCTTTTCGCACATCTTCTTCGCTCCGAGAATCCTGCTCCTAGGAAGTACGTTGGACATGGAAGGGCAGCCGCTGAATAGTTCGGTTGAGGTACTAAGTATCATACGGTGGCCACTTGAGCTCGGTTCGCATCTCCGACTCACTGTACCATCCTTCATCCCGGACAAGCTTGATCTTCATTTTTTTTTCACCACCAGCTCTAGCTGGGTGATGAAAATCTCCTGGTAGGAACCAGCCTATACATCCGCAAACAATATGTATAAACATGTTCACAATACATGTTTGCAGAAAACACAACTTGAAGGGATGTGGTGTCCTTACTCCAGTTCGAGTCCATCAACAGCTGCGCCATTTCGTTTTTCTCGTTTGTCCCCTTCTCCCACTGCTCTTTCACCATTGGCGGCACAGCCAGGTCAGTCCGACGCTTCTTGTCAGCGATCATGCGGCGAATGCGCATTTTGGCAGCATTTCGGAGAAGTTCCTGAACTAACTAACGTGACATATTAGCTGTACTACTCTTCTCTTCAGGAAACTTGAACTGGATATACGGATTGACATGTTTAAACGCTGCCTGGACACACGCCTCGTTAGTGGGCGCCGGGCCTTTTTGGTAGGCGGCCTCGCCTCATCCCCATTCGCACCTGCCGCCTCCGCCTCCATGGGACGGTGAGGAGTCATTAAAAGAAATGCATTCAATGGCAACACTTGCATCATCAATTGAGGCAGCGGTCATGACACCATACGCTCGGAAAATGGCAAACTGAATCCATGACAAGAACTTGAAAATCCTAGCCTGTGTTGGTGTTGATGGTGGTAGTTCAGGAGCTTCAGCCTCGACAAAACAGCTTCCGCAAATCAACTAGATTGGGAAAGCTTTGCAAGTTTTCTCAGAAGTTGAAACAACTTGAGTTGTGGCCTCATCCTGGGCCTTCTGCTCTTCCGCATCATCCTGTTGCGCGTCAGCAACCGAGGCCTTGCAGAGGCAGAACACGCTAGCGTCGACAGATCGGGAAGGCTGGGAAACTCAGTGACGGGCAAGTTCCATCTCAGCCTGATGTTTTGCCTCCATCTCCTGGGGAGTGGCGTGAGGGTTCCACTGAAAAGGGAAAAAGGGAAAACAAAGAATGACCAAAGGATACCGGTGAGGTTCTGTCCTGAATCTCTTTCAGGATTTCTTCTTCTTGTGCTTGTAAGGCTTCATCCTCTTCGTTTACTACTGATTTGTAACCATCCCCCAAAGTTCCACAGCTCCAACCCTGAGACGACATGTAGGCAGTCAGTCGGGCAGCTAAGAAAAGTCGGCCGGCTTGAACAATGATCAATATACTATGCTTTAACTAGTGACAACTGTACAACATTGTACGACATGCGATGATTCTACCTTAAGCTGAATCTGCTGCTGGCCTTTTCCCGTCAGCCAGCGATTCAAGATGATTCAAGTGAACTCTAAATCTTGGCTTTGAACCCGTTCGACAGCTGTTAGAACAGCTGGGTGAATTAGTCGAAACTGCTTCGGGACTGCTTGAAAACGGGTCTGCCAGGCATGGACAAAAACCAGGTTGTACATTACGGTGTTTTACGGTGTTCGCATGGGTATTTATGGTGTACGCATGGGTTGCACATGGGTTGGGCAAAACCAGGTTTTCTACCTTTTACGGGTTATGATCGGCTTTCTGTCGGGTTTTTACGGTGTACAATCGGGAACTGCACGGGTATTTACGGGGTACAATCGGGCTTTGCACGGAACACTGCTTTTTGCCACTACCATTTTTCAAAAAAGTTGAAAAAATCTGCTCGATATCGTTTGTTTGTGAAAGCAAGGTTCGAACCATAGTTCCAAAAGAAAGGCAGACCCGCTGCATTCCATCTAAATCGACTTGGGGACTTCCCGCTCCCATTCTTTGGGAATGGAGAGATGATGACCTTTCCTAAGGTACCTGTACGGTGAGCTTAGATCAGCGTGATCGAAGAGCCCACTACCATGACCGAATGTCGATCTCCTAATCGAGTCAATGGCTGGAGGCAACAGGTCTGGAAGCTTTGGGCTCCCACACTTGTCCGCCTTCAGGTGGGGAACCAGCTCGGATATGGTCAGGCCAAAAAGATCAGGATATATCCTGGGCAGCGGAGACGATCGGGCATTGGATCAATAGAGCACAAATGTTTGCTTTGAAAAACAATAGAGAAAATCAAACCACCAACAACCCAATCGCATGCAAGCCTCTCTGTGCTCTTCAAGTTCTTGGTTCCAGTGTAACATACCCTCCCCTCTTTGTTTTTGTATGCGCGGCAGGTCTCCACATGTTCTCCTGTCCGTTCAACACTGGTAGTAGGCGCGTACTGGTGGACCCTCCTAATAGATGGAGAATTGGAGTATGCGTACTGTGGCTTCGCAGTTGCAGACCCAAATGATGACATCCACCAGGAAATACGGGAAACCTCGGTCACATTGTTTTTGTTTTGAAAATCATTCACCCATCATGTCGCTCAAAACTGGAAAGGCTCTAAGTCTCGCTCTGCTTTGATGCCATCAATGTCAATAAGCCTTGTAGCCTTGTGATGGCCCAACGAAAAGTAGGGTAGAATTCCAGGGTGGAGGATCCGGGTTGCTCTAGTATCCAGCAGCCACCACATGCCGTCACCAGCAGCAACAGGAGCGAGATCCTTTCCAAACCGTGCTCAGAACAACAAGCCCGAATATGAGGGTACAGTGGCATTGACTGAAATGAATTCATAAACGCTTGTGTTTTGGGGACCCTTGGATGCACAAAGGGTCCAAAATTAATGCACAATGGAGGCTAGATGAACCCTAGCTCAATTTCCATGCACTTGAAAGGTGTCACAAGAATGCTTGTGACACCTTTTGCTTTTGTCCTTCAAACCTCCCTCGCTAACTTGCTTCAACTCCAGTCCTCTCCAGCATCCGGTTTGCTTCCAGGACACTGGCTCGGGAAAGATCGCCAGTGCTTGCGCAGGCGGCTCTTGCACTGGTTCCGACGTTTACTGAAGTCCAGCTAGAGCATTTGATGCCGAACCATGCTACAAAGCCACTGTCGGCGTTACCCTTCAAGATGAAGATGATTGCAAGACTCAGTTGACCACAACATTTTTGACTTAGACTCGAAACATGCACACATCCACATGGAGTTGCTTGGGGACCTTTCCCGGGAAGCCGATCTTAATTGAAACGTGTCAAGCCCAAGTGCCACCAAACGACATAAACCCACTTGCGCTGTTGACATCCATGAAATTGCTGGATCCAGGTGCAACATTATCATGATACTTCAAGTCAAACTTGCACCCACGGTGTCCTTGCAGCCTGCTGAAGCTGGTGCAGGCGGCATTCCCAGCGAAGAACTCTAGCCAATCGTAGGCCTCACGCGCTTGTGTGTGGGGACTTGGGGGAACTTATTTGATAATACAGCTATATACCACCACCGCTCCTGATTCAGCTCATATAGCCCTCCGGTCCAAACCACCAAAAGGATTAGAAGGATAAACTCCTGAGCTGCAGGAGGGAGAAAAGAGTGGACTGGAAACAGCTGAAGTCATTTGATGTTGGTTGCCTGTCGAGGGTCTCGTGGCGCCCCCAAAGTGCAGAGTCTGAACACCAAAGCGTCGATGTCTACCATGTTCGAGAAAACTTGGAACGCACGAGTCAAGGGTTGAAGAGCCAAATCTCTGAGCCAAGAAGAGCGGTCCAAACTACATGCATGGTGGATTACGTCGAACAATGCATGAGTAGAAATCTTGGAAACATGTTTGCTGCACGATGTTGTTGCTGCATGCTGCAAGCAGGCCAGCCAAGCATTTCTTCTTCTGCTGCCGCACGCGGCGAGCGTGCGAGATCTGGGGCCGCCTGCCCCGCCGAGGAGCCATGCTGGCCTTGGGGGCGGGCAGGGCAAGTCCACCGGGCAAGTCAAGCTAAAATCGAGAGAGTCTACCAGGTTGAACTGAGGTGGGCATGAGGTTGTTCTGTAATCGCTTTGCAACTCAGTTAGCGTGCAAAAACTTTCGCCAGACATGGTCAATGTCAAGTGAAGTGCTTGTACAACGGTCTGCTCTTGCAGTGTTTATCGCATCACTCGAAGGTCCAACGTCACGATCAATTGATCCCTTGAATAGCTTATTTTGTGCACCCCACCAACCAGCCAACTCAACTCAGGATAGAATGCAATTGCTCTTATGCAACAAAATGAAAACAAACCTCAACGATCGAGATAAACAGATAATAATTGGGAATGGCTATCATGACTGCAGAGCAAGGTGGTAGAGGCACACAGTCATGGGCAAAAGACTGTTCCAGTCGAGGCCCCCCAAGCTAGGTTCGAAGCTGTGCTCACCCACGTGCGATGATGGCCTATTGCCATACATCATACCCCAAATACAGCTATCCCACTTAGGGTAAACCACAACTAGATATGCCGCCCTCAGATGAAGTCTTGGCGCAACACAGCAGCAGCAGCCTCAGTGAGCGATTGCTTGACGAGGTCAAGCTCTTCCTGAAACTCCTCCAGGGTGTCAGCGGGGCAGTCGTCCATGTAGTATGCCTTGGGCGGGCTGCCAAGTATGTCCGAAATCCTTCCACTAGCTTTCACCAAGCATCTTACCTACAACATCCATGCAGTCAGAACTCTTTGCTGTTTAAAGTGCATATAAATATTAATTTCAAGGGCGCATCAAAAGCAAAAACAAGACCGACTCACAAAAAGCTTAATCCATATAAGTCAAATTGCTGCGCACTCAGCACAAGCAATCGCAGCTAAACATCCGCGCTGAGTACTCTCGAACTTGAAGTGCGCAACTTCTTTGGGGCCGCCACCGGTCTTCATGACCAAGCCGCAAGCGAAGGTCTTCCAGTAGATACTGAGACGGAAGTATGTATACTGGGACCTGGCCAGCTTCACACTTGCCTTGAAAGAGTCCAAATCTCCCTGCCAATCCAAGTTGTTGTGTTGGACCCACCCTATGATGTCCTCTTGCTGTTGCGGGTACTGCTTCCCATCGGACACTTTTGGAGTTTGCTTCCGCTTCGGAGGCTTTGATGTATCATCACTGTTGCCCGCCTTGCGCTTGCTCTGCGACTGCCGCCGACCTGGGGCAGCCTTTGCCTTTGCTGAAGTCGATGACTTGTCATCGCCCTTCTTTGCCCGTCTACTACTGCTGGCCTTCGCTGCACTCTCAGGAGTCTCCGTTTTCTTCGTAGCAGTCTTGCCCTTCTTGGTCTTTGCGGCTCCCTTGATGTCAGCCTTGTCCTCATTCTCGATCGGTGGTTCTTTGGCATTCTTCTTCGCATTCTTTTTGTTCTTGTTGGCATCCTTTCCCTTGCTCCGCAGAGAAAGCTGATCTCTCCGACAAAAGACCTTGCATCAGAAAGGATGTTGTCCAAAAATCAAAGAAGTTAAACCGTTTAAGAAAATGAAGTTACTGGATTGAAAACCATGCAAGTCTAGAAAACCTTTTCAGGGGTACATCGGATTCATCGGATTGGGGAAGTCAAGATGTTGCTTTGGCTTTGGGTTTTTGTTCATTGCGGACTTATGATCTCAAAGCAAAAGAAACCAAAACCGTGTGGCACAAGTTCGAAGGACTTCGGCTGGAGCCTCCTCCGCACCTGGGCCTGGGGGAGGCGCGTCAGCACCAGTCTCAGCTTCCACACCAAGTGCCTGTGCGTCCTCTTTGGGCGCAGGGATGGGGGGCAGCTTCTGCTCAAAGTAACCATCAGGTAGTTGAGAATCATGGTCGTCGAGATCTGAACTGACATAATGGACTGTCTTCTCCCCTTCACCTCGGCCTTGGTACTTCCTGCGTCGGGTTGCAGGGCTGTCAGAAAGTAAGTCCCCTGAGCTCACCCTTGGGCTTGAAGTCATAGCGGTTGCGGCAGCGGCAGCTGCATCTCCATCAAGGGGCTGAGTCTCCACGTTGTCTGGCGCAAAGTGTGGGGTGGAGCGTCCTGCGTCAGACCATGGGTTAAAGCCCGACGAAAGAGACACATGGATTCAGATAACTTTTATAATGCATGGGTGGGCTCAACTTTCACATGTCCGTCAATAACCCTTCCACTTGTTAAAACTGTTAGCTAGTAAGTTCGAGTTTGTGAACAGCCCCAACCTCCCTGAAGCTCTGCAGCTTCACGCGCAGCAGGCTTGGCCGCAGATGAGGCTGCACTTGCAAGGAGCTCCCTCTTCTGCCGGATCCTGAGTGACCAAATGAAGATGATTGGCATGGAAGGTCCAAAACCGACTTCCCCAGATGGGTTGGGAACAAAACTGTTTTTGGGGGGTTGGAAATAGACAATAAAGTTCGAAAGAAGAGTATCTAGACAAGATTCTTCTGGAGCAACGCTCGCTTTGCTTCCAAATCAGCTTGGAGGGTTGTAGCTGCCTGGCCAGCTCCTGGTATCATTTGCATGGACGCAATGCATTCATGTGTAACCTTCGTCCAGTAATAACTAAATTAGATTCTTGGAGAACATTGTATTGACAGAACATCAACTGGATTTGAGGCTTTGTTGGGAACTGAAGCTCCTGGAACATGAGGTGGCTGCACTTGCTTCTCAGCAGCTGCAACCACTGCAGGAGCTTCACCCACAGTGGCAGCAGGGACAGCCGGGAGATCTTTCTGTTGGGGTGATGGAACTCTTGTTGGCGGACTCACCACGGCAACCCCTTCCGGGCCAGCACCGGCATTGCGACCTTTCTCAAGGTCAGTTTGCTCGCGCCCAGTGTCAGCCTCGCGAGTAGCAGCAGGTTCTGGTTCAGGGCTAGGCGGCGCATCATCCTCCTATTGACAAAAAACAACTTGGGCATGCCATGACGCATCAAGGGGCCTTGACATCGTGTAGCCCAATGTATGGAAGATTAATGAAGATTATGAGAAGGTCAAATTTTGAGTCCTGTTCTGCATCGCCGGTTGGATCTCGGTCGTGGGACTTGCTGTTGATCTCGTTCACCAACTCCTGCGCGTCCAGATTGTGCGAGCCGCGTGAGATAGATATTGGCTAACTATTTCCAGGGTATTGAAAGTATACAAGTTGAATTCTACTTTCCTTCCTATTTTTCTTGAGTGGCCCCAACCTCCAAGCCCGGGTTCAGCAGGATGCACAAAGATTGGAAGACTGGGTCCTGAGATGCACCAGACTTGTGAAAGACAAAGGACCAATATAGGTTAGACTCCGGGATAGCAACACTCTATCAAAAGCGTTGCCAAGATTTCATTCAATGAACCTTGCTGGGCTCGCGTCTTTGCGTCTTTTTCTTGATGAAGGTCACCATATCCCGAATACCCCAGGCAGCATCATCGACCTTGTGGTCATCTGCCTCCTGGTGGTTGATACGGTATGCTTGAGCTACTGAATCCCTTAGACCATCAATCTCCGCAAGACGGCAGCCAGTGGCAATCTGCACCAAGATTGGAGTGAGCACATCATAGTTTTCCACACAACGTGGAATCTTAACATCCTTCCCTCCTTTCTCTGACAGTAAATGCTCACCTTTGCGAAGCCGATTGCGAATGGTTTCCATGCCATCCCATTCTTCAGCAAGACCCGCGCAATCAACATAGGAGCCTGACATGGCTTAGAGGGTTGATCCCCAAACCCACCTGTTGAGCAATGTGGCTGCATCACAGCAGTGTTACAAGATACAGGGAGCCAAAGCCTCCAGTAACTAAGATCGAACTGCATGAACTCTGCCACCCCACCAGGAGCTGGTGCTGAGAACCCCGACTTTGCCAGCTCAGGTGGCAAAAAGGATGGCCATTGAGCCCGATGCACTGCTCTCGAAAGCGGCATGCTTCGATCGATGTCCAAAAGAGTGGTGTATCATCTCTCCAAGAACGTAATCGGATCCATGTTTGTAGTGTTTACACCAAAAACCTGGTTTTTCTCAGGATAACCCGAAGATCGTATCGATCATGCTCAGAAACACGGTTTCCGGCCCGCACACTGCTTTTTAGCAGTGTTTAGGTTCCCAAGGTATATGTGTGTGTGTGTGTTTGTTAATGTGATATATTGCCAAAGGAACAGCATATAATATGACAGTCAAGTTTCACTAGGTACATGTCACACATTCATTTGGCTCAAGCGCCCGAGTAAAGGAAACCCAGCGCCCGGATCCTTGCTCGGGCTATAGTGGTGATCAAGTGTGAATGTCACGATCTCCTTGGTTAACACCGACTCGCAGGTTCTCAGCCGTAGCGCTTTCGCTACGAGCTATTGAGAGACGACAGAACAACAACGAGATATTGACCTGCAATGTCAAGTTCTGGTGGAAATGCAAGCGAGCCATTTTCCTTTGCAGCACCAGGAGGAATGTCCCAATCAACAGCTGGGGTACGGTTAGTTCAGGGGATGCCACGATGCCGACCAATTCCATGGGTGCCGGGTGGTCATGTCATTCCGGTCCGGCATGACCGATGCACAGATCGGCACCAAGCGGACGCCGACTCACCCGATCCACTTCATGTGAATTATAGATGATTGAGAACACAGAGAAAGGCAAGAGATCCAGCTGTTGGGAGACCTGAGGCCATCGAGAACAGCATACCACATGCTACATGAAGCATATGCAGATCTACAATCAGGTTATGATGAGGCCTTGTCCTCCTGCTGTCATCTATTTGTCCTCTGTCTTTTCCTCGTCTGGTCCTTTTCTTTTCTTGTTGTCCTTTTCTTGTTGTCTCCTTGTTGCAGCATGAAGACATGACACCACCAAGCGCAGTCAAAGGGTCCAATGCGAGAAAGCAATTGCACACCTAGTGGGAAAGTGCCAGCCGACTGCCAGCCTATCTCCGGTCGTACTCCTCCCATCATCGTCTTGTGTTTCTTTTGTCGTTCTCCTCTTGGCATGCTCCCCTCATGTGGTCCTGGTTGTCAATTTGGCGTTGTCCGGTCACAGTTTGTACTTCTTCTATCCTCTTGGTGTGTTCGTGTTGTTTTCCTTCCCTCATCCTTTTGTACTCTGTTGTCCTCATGTCCTCCTCTCGTGTTTTTGTTGTCCTGCTGCTGTCGTGCTGTTTACGATGCTTTCTGAGACAGGGGCTGGGGCTGCGGCCGTCCATGACAACAATAGTTCTTGCCCACTAAGCTGCTTGGGCTCTATGCCGGTACGTACTGTATAAGTTTTATACCAGACATCTCGCATAGATGCCGCAGACATCGCCTTTCGTCCCGGCCAGGAAAGACCTCGACGCTGAAGTCGCTTTGCAACGAGGCCTTCGATGCCTCTGAGGCCTCAACCCATGGCGTGGAGAACGCCGTTTGCACCACGGCCACTTGGGATTCACCGAGTTTGTAGAATGTTTGAAGGTTTTTCAATTTTAATGCCAACTTTGTGTGCACAGATACGTAGGAGGCATGAAGAACCATGAAGTATGGGGTTTGGTGTTCATCAGCTATCTTTCTATTTGTGCCATGCAGAGCAACCTGGACGTTTTTGCCAGTGCCAGAATGTTCTAGAAATTTTCAACCCAGTGCAAAAGTTCAAGCGATATGGGGCACATCCCCATGCTACATATCGTTTCCCCTGTTCCTTTCACTAAGTCGGGTTTTGTGGCCCATTCAACCTAAGAGCGATGGCCTCCATCCTAATGGCGATGGCCTCCAACCCTTATAGCAAACCATCTTAAACTCGCTTTGTGGCCTATTCCCGTATCGACGTTGCGCCGCTGCACTGAGGAAAGACGTTTTGAGACTTCGACACAGCCATCGCGCGAGTGGCGGAGGATGAGGAGGGGGTGGACAGTGGACAGCCTGTTTGGAGAGAAGACCTTAAAACATTCCAAAACGACACCGCAACCATCGGACTCATGCGTTTTGAGGAGGGAGTGGTGAGGTTCTCAAAATCTGTTCAAGCAGGAGTACCACGCGTATGTAATGCGGATAGATACTCGAGAGTTCAGAGTTCAGTACAGAAGTGAATCAACATGTCGTAAAAACTCTCATGGCTTCCGAATGTGATCGACCTTTGTTGTTTCCACAGATGGACGCTACTAGGGGCTCCTGGGCCCTACTACTAGGAGCAAGGAAACTACTATTAACAAAGGGCATCGCTACTAGGAGTAATGAGCGACTAGGGGCTCCTGGCCCTACTACTAGGATACTAGGAGCAAGGACGCTACTAGTAACAAAGCGCATCGCTACTGGGAGCAAGGAGCTACTAAGGGCTCCTGGCCTTACTACTAGGAGCAAGGACGCTACTAGGGGCTCCTGCCCTTATTGCTGGGAGCAAGGACGCTACTAGGGGCTCCTGGCCTTACTACCAGGAGCAAGAAGCTACTAGGGGCTCCTTCGTGAGGCGTTTACCCACGAATGACTTCGATGTCGTGGTGGCTCGCCACGTGGCGCAAGAGCTACGACGGTCGGTGTCAGAGGACTCTGGGAAACGATCACAAAAGCTTGGAAGTCTCAGTAGATGTGATGTTTTAACAGAACTCCTTTTCTCTTCCTCTCTTAGACTAATAGCGATGGCCTCCAAACTACTAGCGATGGCCTCCATAGAGTTTCTTATTTTGGAAAAACTAACTAGTCAATACTGGTCATGCATGACTCATGACTCATGATGACCTCTGGAACGATGTTTGCTTACAACCTGCGCGCTGAAGACAGGTAAAAGCTGCACAATTGAAAATCATAATTACCACTGTTTGCTATCACTGGGGCGTGTAGCTCTAGTTGCGGCGCGTGCGCTCCGCTTGGAGGACCCAAAGGAGGTCGAGCGGGAGCGCAGGGAACGCGAGAGCTTGACGAGCGTGCCCGCCGGGTGGAGCTCGGTGCTCGTCGAGAAGGACATGAGCACCGTGGACGGGCAGATGATTCGGAATGGAACCTAATGGCAACCAAAGCCATGGCCGCCAACCTACTAGCGATGGCCGCCAACCTAATAGCGATGGCCGCCAACCTAATAGC